AAATCTTACACAGATAAATCTAATTTTGTTCTGTGCCTTGTTTATGCTGAGTCAGGTTATAGGGGAAGTGGATAATTCTTGAAATAGGGTGGGATGGGGTGACATATGCATATTCTCTGGGGTGCATCGGTTTACCCAAAAGGACCCAAAAGGAAATCAAAAGGGCTCAAATAAATATATCAATATACATTGAAAATTAATAATTTGAATTAAATTATGAATATTATATCATAAATTTACCTAAAAGTTGGCAAAAACACATATTTATAATATTGGAACTTAATATTATGATACAACTTTTATTACACATTAAACACTTAGTCTAAATCTGGTCAGATATGCTTTGATTTCTTTTAGCTGAAATTTACAAAGTACACTGTATTATTCTATTTCTCCTTTGTTTAACCATATCTTACTATATGGTATTTGATAAATAAAGAAATAAAGTTTTATTTAAAGACATGTTCTAGGCATATGGTATTGGAGATGGGTGTGTGGTGGGGGGACCTCCCACCCCCACCCCAAACACACACTTTACCTTCAAAAAACTAGTTTTAGTTTTAATAAAATATGAAAGTATTTATTATATATCCATATATTCTCTTTATTTCAAGTCCTTTTGGGTCGTTCTTAATTTCTTTTTGGGTCCTTTTGGGTAAATCGACGCACCATATTCTGTGAAGAAATGGTTGAGTTTCCAAAAAAAAAAAAAAGTAGAAATATACTGTGTTAAATCTCTCAGAGATAAATCTGATCGTGTTCTGTGCCTTGTTTTCTGATGAGTAAGCTAATTGCAAGAGGAATCAAAAAATTCGTAAAAGAGGGTAGGGGTGAGATACACAGTCATATTCTGATTTGAGCAACTGATTGAGTTTATACATTTTTCTCTTAAATGAAAATTATAAAGTTTCAAGAATATGCATATATTCAGAATCCAAATTTTTATTCAAGTCTATTTTCAGATAATGGCCTATACAGGGATTGACTGAGGAACAGACTACATTCAAAGCACTCTTAACCATGTTAACAATCAACATCAACCATTTAAGAAGAATTCCCAAGAACCATACACATTCCAAAGGAAATCTTCAGTCTTGTCAACCATGTAAAAGAATTCTTGAGACCCATAAACATTCCACAGGAAATCTTCAGTCTTACATATTCAAAGTACTTACAAATTACTACTGAATTCAGAAAGTCCTTAAAACACCCAGCAGTCTAGCACTGTAAACATTACTGTGTGTGTTATGTATTGAAATCAAACACTCCAACCGGAGTATAATCTTATATCAACCCTACTTCAGAGGCCCCAAGTCTCCCCGATTCCATTAACCGTGATGTAATAATAAATATACAGTAAAAGCACATAGATCGACAGTTAAATCTGAGACAAACATCTTACCAAATTCTTCAATATTTAGTTTTCTGTAAGCAGAACTCAAATTCTTACAGCCAGTTGAATAAACTGTTAAGCAAAGTGTTCCCCTACCCACACAGTTAGGTAATAACTGCTGTTTAACTTCTTTAATTTTCACACTCATCTTTCTTTGATAGTTTACCATTCCTTATACCCATGTCATATTTGCATTTCATTTCTTCTCTTACCCTTTCTATATAACCACTCTCCATGATTCCTCAATTTTTTTTTATTACTATCCCCCAAATATCCCCCATCCCCAACCAAACCCTCACTGCAACCCACATTCCCATCCCCTTATGAAACTTCCCACAGTAGCTCCTTGACAGATTGATTAGCCATACTATGACTCCCCTTATATTTCACTTCTATGGCTTTTCCCTGACCTACCATTTCTTCCAGCTGCTCTATCTTCTTCTTTAACTCTTCCAGTTCTTTCTTTTGATCTTCCTCCATCTTTCTGATTTTTTCGCCGAAATCGTACGTCATGTCCGCCGCCTGTCTCTTCAGCTCGATCTCAAGTTGAACTTTGAACTCTGACTGCACGTCCATGATCTCAGCTCGGTGTTCATGCTCCAAGTCCTGAAAAGCATTTCCTCATTTTTCACATTTGTTTCTTTTATTTGTATAGTAATACTAAAAATATACCTTAACTCCTATTTCAATGCCTCAATCTGCCTTCTCTCTCACCCCTTTCTCCCCTCTTCTCTCTCCATTTCTCTCTCTTTCTCATCTCTTTCATTGCCTCTACTTGCTCTCTCTCTAACTCTCTCTCACCTGTCCCAATGCCTCTATCTTCTCCCTATCCTGATGCTGTAGCTCGTCGTACTGCTCTTCTAACACTCTCTCTCTAACTCTCTCTCACCTGTTTTAATGCTTCTATCTGCTCCCTATGCTGATGCTGTAGTTCATCGTACTGCTCCTCTAACACTCTCTCTCTAACTCTCTCTCACCTGTTTTAATGCTTCTATCTGCTCCCTATGCTGATGCTGTAGTTCATCATACTGTTTCTCTAAGACTCTCTCTCTAACTCTCTCTCACCTGTCTTAATGCCTCTATCTGCTCTCTCACCTGTCTTAATGCCTCTCTCTAACTCTCTCTCACCTGTCTCAATGCCTCTATCTGCTCCCTATGCTGATGCTGTAGCTCGTTGTACTGCTCCTCTTACACTCTCTCTCTTACTCTCTCTCACCTGTCTTAATGCTTCTATCTGCTCCCTATGCTGATGCTGTAGCTCGTCGTACTGCTCCTCTTACACTCTCTCTCTAACTCTCTCTCACCTGTCTAAATGCCTCTATCTGCTCCCTATGCTGATGCTGTAGTTCGTCATACTGCTCCTCTTACACTCTCTCTCTAACTCTCTCTCACCTGTCTTAATGCCTCTATCTGCTCCCTATGCTGATGCTGTAGTTCGTCATACTGCTCCTCTTACACTCTCTCTCTAACTCTCTCTCACCTGTCTTAATGCCTCTATCTGCTCCCTATGCTGATGCTGTAGCTCGTTGTACTGCTCCTCTAACACTCTCTGTGTAACTCTCTCACCTGTATTAATGCCTCTATCTGCTCCCTATGCTGATGCTGTAGTTCGTCATACTGCTCCTCTAACACTCTCTCTCTAACTCTCTCACCTATCTTAATGCCTCTATCTGCTCCCTATGCTGATGCTGTAGCACGTCGTACTTCTCCTCTTACACTCTCTCTCTAACTCTCTCTCACCTGTCTAAATGCCTCTCTCTGCTCCCTATGCTGATGCTGTAGCTCGTCGTACTGCTCCTCTAACACTCTCTCTCTCCCTCTCTCTCACCTGTCTTAATGCCTCTATCTGTTCTCTCTCACAGGTCTAAATGCCTCTATCTGCCCTCTATGCTGATGCTGTAGCTCGTCGTACTGCTCCTCTAACACTCTCTCTCTAACTCTCTCTCACCTGTCTAAATGCCTCTCTCTGCTCCCTATGCTGATGCTGTAGCTCGTCGTACTGCTCCTCTAACACTCTCTCTCTAACTCTCTCTCACCTGTCTTAATGCCTCTATCTGCTCCCTATGCTGATGCTGTAGCTCGTCGTACTGCTCCTCTTACACTCTCTCTCTAACTCACCTGCTCTTAATGAATCTATCTGCTCCCTTTGCTGATGCTGTAGCTCGTCGTACTGCTCCTCTAACACTCTCTCTCTAACTCTCTCTCACCTGTCTTAATGCCTCTATCTGCTCCCTATGCTGATGCTGTAGCTCGTCGTACTGCTCCTCTTCTACACTCTCTCTCTAACTCACCTGCTCTTAATGAATCTATCTGCTCCCTATGCTGATGCTGTAGCTCGTCGTACTGCTCCTCTAACACTCTCTCTCTAACTCTCTCTCACGTGTCTTAATGCCTCTATCTTCTCCCTATGCTGATGCTGTGGTTCGTCATACTGCTCCTCTAACACTCTCTCTCTAACTCTCTCTCACCTGTCTTAATGCCTCTCTCTAACTCTCTCACCTGTCTTAATGCCTCTCTCTAACTCTCTCACCTGTCTTAATGCCTCTATCTGCTCCCTATGCTGATGCTGTGGTTCGTCATACTGCTCCTCTAACACTCTCTCTCTAACTCTCTCTCACCTGTCTCAATGCCTCTATCTGCTCCCTATGCTGATGATGTAGTTCATCATACTGTTTCTCTAACACTCTCTCTCTAACTCTCTCTCACCTGTCTTAATGCCTCTATCTGCTCCCTATGCTGATGCTGTAGCTCGTTGTACTGCTCCTCTAACACAATCTGTGTAACTCTCTCACCTGTCTTAATGCCTCTATCTGCTCCCTATGCTGATGCTGTAGTTCGTCGTACTGCTCCTCTAACACTCTCTCTCTAACTCTCTCTCACCTGTCTTAATGCCTCTATCTGCTCCCTATGCTGATGCTGTAGTTCATCGTACTGCTCCTCTAACACTCTCTCTCTAACTCTCTCTCACCTGTCTCAATGCCTCTATCTGCTCCCTCTCACCTGTCTTAATGCCTCTATCTGCTCCCTATGCTGATGCTGTAACTCGTCGTACTGCTCCTCTAACACTCTCTGTGTAACTCTCTCACCTGTCTTAATGCCTCTATCTGCTCCCTATGCTGATGCTGTAGTTCATCGTACTGCTCCTCTTACACTCTCTCTCTAACTCTCTCTCACCTGTCTTAATGCCTCTATCTGCTCCCTATGCTGATGCTGTAGTTCATCGTACTGCTCCTCTTACACTCTCTCTCTAACTCTCTCTCACCTGTCTTAAGGTAGGATTCTCTCTCTCTTTTCACAGAATCAAGAAGACAATATCAGTAAGTGATAGTATCAGTGAGATTAAATTTGACCGTTTTATATTAGAGGCAAGGTCAGGTCAAGGTCATTATCTTTTTCCTTGACATTAAGAATAAAAAAAATGCTATTTCAAAAGTTAAACTGGTTCTTTAAGCATAAAAAGATACTCTATATCGGGTCTATAGCTGATCTTTACTCTAAATAATTTAACTAAATTGGATCTCTCTCTGTTTTTCTTTATTTTTTAAGATATATTAGTTATTTTCAAATGCTTCCTATATTTAACTTTCTCTTATCTTCACATATGCTAGTCCTAAATGATACAAAAACAAAAAGCTTCAAAAGCTAATACAGTTCTAGTTTTTTTTTGAAAAATCATATCAATTTGATATATTTAGGAAAATAAGTCCCTTATTATTAATTAAACTTACATTTGAAAAGTTCTCCAAGTCGTACTGCTCCTATAAAAATCTGTGTGTAAACTCTCACCTGTTTTTTTAATGCTCTCTGTCAAAACCAGAGAAGATTTCATCGCACTCTCTCTCTCTCAACACTCTCTCTCTCTCTCTCTCACCTGTCTTAATGCCTCTATCTGTCCCTATGCTGATGCTGTAGTTCATCGTACTGCTCAATGCCTCTAACACTCTCTGCTAACTCTCTCTCTCTCTCACCTGTCTCAATGCTCAATGCCTCTATCTGCTCCTCTACCTGTTCTCTCCCTATGCTAATTTCTATCTCTCTCACCTGTCTCAATGCCTCTATCTGCTCCCTAAAATACTGTCTCTCTCTCACACTCAATATATGCTGATGCTGTAGTTCAAACTGCTCCTAACACTCTCTGTCTTTCACCTGTCTCTCTCTCTCTCTCTCTCCCTATGCTGATGCTGTAGTTCTCTGCTCCTCTAACACTCTCTCTCTCTCTCTAATCTCTATCTGCTCTCTATGCTGATGCTGTAGTTCATCGTACTGCTCCTCTTACACTCTCTCTCTCTCTAATGCTCTCTCTCACCTCTCTCAAATGCATCTATCTGCTCCCTATGCTGATGCTGTAGTTCATCGTACTGCTCCTCTAACACTCTCTCTCTCCCTCTCTCTCACCTTCTCAATGCCTCTATCTGCTCTCTATGCTGATGCTGTAGCTCGTCGTACTGCTCCTCTAACACTCTCTCTCTAACTCTCTCTCACCTGTCTCAATGCCTCTATCCTCTATCTGCTCTCTCTCTCTCTCTGCCTCTATCTGCTCCCTATGCTGATGCTGTAGTTCATCGTACTGCTCCTCTAACACTCTCTCTCTAACTCTCTCTCACCTGTCTCAATGCCTCTATCTGCTCCCTATGCTGATGCTGTAGTTCATCGTACTGCTCTTCTAACACTCTCTCTCTAACTCTCTCTCACCTGTCTCAATGCCTCTATCTGCTCTCTCTCACCTGTCTTAATGCCTCTATCTGCTCCCTATGCTGATGCTGTAGTTCATCGTACTGCTCCTCTAACACTCTCTCTCTAACTCTCTCTCACCTGCCTCAATGCCTCTATCTGCTCCCTATGCTGATGCTGTAGCTTGTCGTACTGCTCCTCTAACACTCTCTCTCTAACTCTCTCTCACCTGTCTTAATGCCTCTATCTGCTCCCTATGCTGATGCGTAGTTCATCGTACTGCTCCTCTTACACTCTCTCTCTAACTCTCTCTCACCTGTCTTAATGCATCTATCTGCTCCCTATGCTGATGCTGTAGTTCATCATACTGCTCCTCTTACACTCTCTCTCTAACTCTCTCTCACCTGTCTCAATGCCTCTATCTGCTCTCTCTTACCTGTCTCAATGCCTCTATCTGCTCTCTCTCACCTGTCTTAATGCCTCTATCTGCTGCCTATGCTGATGCTGTAGCTCGTCGTACTGCTCCTCTTACACTCTCTCTCTAACTCTCTCTCACCTGTCTCAATGCCTCTATCTGCTCCCTATGCTGATGCTGTAGCTCGTCGTACTGCTCCTCTAACACTCTCTCTCTAACTCACCTGCTCTTAATGAATCTATCTGCTCCCTATGCTGATGCTGTAGCTCGTCGTACTGCTCCTCTAACACTCTCTCTCTAACTCTCTCTCACCTGTCTCAATGCCTCTATCTGCTCCCTATGCTGATGCTGTAGTTCATCATACTGTTTCTCTTAGACTCTCTCTCTAACTCTCTCACCTGCCTCAATGCCTCTATCTGCTCCCTATGCTGATGCTGTAGCTCGTTGTACTGCTCCTCTAACACTCTCTCTAACTCTCTCTCACCTGTCTTAATGCCTCTATCTGCTCCCTATGCTGATGCTGTAGTTCATCGTACTGCTCCTCTAACACTCTCTCTCTAACTCTCTCTCACTTGTCTTATTGCTTCTATCTGCTCCCTATGCTGATGCTGTAGTTCATAGTACTGCTCCTCTAACACTCTCTCTCTAACTCTCTCTCACCTGTCTCAATGCCTCTATCTGCTCCCTATGCTGATGCTGTAGCTCGTCGTACTGCTCCTCTAACACTCTCTCTCTAACTCTCTCTCACCTGTCTTAATGCCTCTCTCTAACTCTCTCACCTGTCTTAATGCCTCTCTCTCTCTCAACTCTCTCACCTGTCTTAATGCCTCTATCTGCTCCCTATGCTGATGCTGTAGCTCGTCGTACTGCTCCTCTTACACTCTCTCTCTAACTCTCTCTCACCTGTCTCAATGCCTCTATCTGCTCCCTATGCTGATGCTGTAGTTCATCGTACTGCTCCTCTTACACTCTCTCTCTAACTCTCTCTCACCTGTCTTAATGCCTCTATCTGCTCCCTATGCTGATGCTGTAGCTCGTCGTACTGCTCCTCTAACACTCTCTCTCTAACTCTCTCTCACCTGTCTTAATGCCTCTCTCTAACTCTCTCACCTGTCTTAATGCCTCTATCTGCTCTCTCTCACCTCTCTCAATGCCTCTATCTGCTCCCTATGCTGATGCTGTAGCTCATCGTACTGCTCCTCTAACACTCTCTCTCTAACTCTCTCTCACCTGTCTTAATGCCTCTATCTGCTCTCTCTCACCTGTCTTAATGCCTCTATCTGCTCTCTCACCTGTCTCAATGCCTCTATCTGCTCTCTCTCACCTGTCTTAATGCCTCTATCTGCTCTCTCTCACCTCTCTCAATGCCTCTATCTGCTCCCTATGCTGATGCTGTAGTTCATCGTACTGCTCCTCTAACACTCTCTCTCTAACTCTCTCTCACCTGCCTCAATGCCTCTATCTGCTCCCTATGCTGATGCTGTAGCTTGTCGTACTGCTCCTCTAACACTCTCTCTCTAACTCTCTCTCACCTGTCTTAATGCCTCTATCTGCTCCCTATGCTGATGCGTAGTTCATCGTACTGCTCCTCTTACACTCTCTCTCTAACTCTCTCTCACCTGTCTTAATGCATCTATCTGCTCCCTATGCTGGTGCTGTAGTTCATCATACTGCTCCTCTTACACTCTCTCTCTAACTCTCTCTCACCTGTCTCAATGCCTCTATCTGCTCTCTCTTACCTGTCTCAATGCCTCTATCTGCTCTCTCTCACCTGTCTTAATGCCTCTATCTGCTGCCTATGCTGATGCTGTAGCTCGTCGTACTGCTCCTCTTACACTCTCTCTCTAACTCTCTCTCACCTGTCTCAATGCCTCTATCTGCTCCCTATGCTGATGCTGTAGCTCGTCGTACTGCTCCTCTAACACTCTCTCTCTAACTCACCTGCTCTTAATGAATCTATCTGCTCCCTATGCTGATGCTGTAGCTCGTCGTACTGCTCCTCTAACACTCTCTCTCTAACTCTCTCTCACCTGTCTCAATGCCTCTATCTGCTCCCTATGCTGATGCTGTAGTTCATCATACTGTTTCTCTTAGACTCTCTCTCTAACTCTCTCACCTGCCTCAATGCCTCTATCTGCTCCCTATGCTGATGCTGTAGCTCGTTGTACTGCTCCTCTAACACTCTCTCTAACTCTCTCTCACCTGTCTTAATGCCTCTATCTGCTCCCTATGCTGATGCTGTAGTTCATCGTACTGCTCCTCTAACACTCTCTCTCTAACTCTCTCTCACTTGTCTTATTGCTTCTATCTGCTCCCTATGCTGATGCTGTAGTTCATAGTACTGCTCCTCTAACACTCTCTCTCTAACTCTCTCTCACCTGTCTCAATGCCTCTATCTGCTCCCTATGCTGATGCTGTAGCTCGTCGTACTGCTCCTCTAACACTCTCTCTCTAACTCTCTCTCACCTGTCTTAATGCCTCTCTCTAACTCTCTCACCTGTCTTAATGCCTCTCTCTAACTCTCTCACCTGTCTTAATGCCTCTATCTGCTCCCTATGCTGATGCTGTAGCTCGTCGTACTGCTCCTCTTACACTCTCTCTCTAACTCTCTCTCACCTGTCTCAATGCCTCTATCTGCTCCCTATGCTGATGCTGTAGTTCATCGTACTGCTCCTCTTACACTCTCTCTCTAACTCTCTCTCACCTGTCTTAATGCCTCTATCTGCTCCCTATGCTGATGCTGTAGCTCGTCGTACTGCTCCTCTAACACTCTCTCTCTAACTCTCTCTCACCTGTCTCAATGCCTCTATCTGCTCTCTCTCACCTGTCTTAATGCCTCTATCTGCTCTCTCTCACCTCTCTCAATGCCTCTATCTGCTCCCTATGCTGATGCTGTAGCTCATCGTACTGCTCCTCTAACACTCTCTCTCTAACTCTCTCTCACCTGTCTTAATGCCTCTATCTGCTCTCTCTCACCTGTCTTAATGCCTCTATCTGCTCCCTATGCTGATGCTGTAGCTCGTCGTACTGCTCCTCTTACACTCTCTCTCTCACCTGTCTCAATGCCTCTATCTGCTCCCTATGCTGATGCTGTAGTTCATCGTACTGCTCCTCTTACACTCTCTCTCTAACTCTCTCTCACCTGTCTTAATGCCTCTATCTGCTCCCTATGCTGATGCTGTAGCTCGTCGTACTGCTCCTCTAACACTCTCTCTCTAACTCTCTCTCACCTGTCTTAATGCCTCTCTCTAACTCTCTCACCTGTCTTAATGCCTCTATCTGCTCTCTCTCACCTCTCTCAATGCCTCTATCTGCTCCCTATGCTGATGCTGTAGCTCGTTGTACTGCTCTTCTAACACTCTCTCTCTAACTTTCTCTCACCTGTCTTAATGCCTCTATCTGCTCTCTATGCTGATGCTGTAGCTCGTCATACTGCTCCTCTAACACTCTCTCTCTAACTCTCTCTCACCTGTCTTAATGCCTCTCTCTGCTCTCTATGCTGATGCTGTAGTTCGTCATACTGCTCCTCTAACACTCTCTCTTGCTCCAGTGATGCGTCCAGCTCTTGTTGAAGTTTCAGCAGTTTATCACTGATCTCCCCCGTCGTTCTCTCGCTGGACTCTTCAAACTCCGCGAGGTCTCTCCTACATTTCTCCTCCACTTCTTCCTTCTCTCTCTCCAGAATCTTCAATATGGCTTCTTTTTCCTTTAATTTATTGTTCATTTCTTCAATATGGCACTGTTTTTCACGCATCATTTGCTCCATCTCTGTGACCTTGCTTTCTGTCAAGGTCATTTTCTCCCTGAGTTCTATATTTAGTTGAGACTCTAATTCTAGTTTCTCCTGAAGTTCAGCAATTTCATTGGATTTTTCCTCCAGTATTTTTTCTAATTCCTGGATCCTGCTGTCACTGTCTACTGTTACCTTTGCTTCACTCTGTTCACTGCTTTCTTGATTCTGTTCATCACTTGATGATGTCACTTCCTGTCTCAGTGATGTCACTTCCTGTGTTGTAGCTTCTAGCTGACTGCGTAGTTCTTTTATTTGAGATTCATAATGATCTTTCAAATCCTGGATTTCTTTTTCATGCTCTTCCTTTAGTCTGGTCTGCATGGCTTCTTCTGTAAAATAAAACATGTTATCAAAGTTTAAAAAGCTTAAGGACAGATGATACAAACAATTTTTTTGTTTGAAAAAGATTTAACATCATGTAACAAGTTTAGATGTGAACATTTCCTGAATGGTTCTTCCATTTTTTTCTCCGAAGAATTGGAAAATGAAATAGACTTGGAAAATATTAGTAATATTTCAATAAAAAAACAAATATAGACAAATCACATTCAGTAAAGGTTTACAGATGAAAACAAATTTCAGAATATGTTACCTTGGTGCCAAAAGCTTAATATAAACTTTAAAAAAATATACAGCCAGGTGAATTTTAAGAGGAAGATCAAAATGACAAAAAATTAGCAATATCACATAGGCTAGTTTTTACCATTTAACTTTTCCTAATAAAAATCACCTGGCTTGGTATATTTTTCTTAAGTTTATATTGCACATTTAGCACCATAATAACATATTCTGAAAATTATTTTCACCTGTAAACCTTTACTGAATGTTATTTGTCTATATTTGTTTTTTTCAATGAAATATTACTAATATTTTCCAAGATTTTTGCATATTCCAGTTCTTAGGAGAAAAAATTCTGAGAACCATCCACTTTTCTAAACTTGTGACATGATATTAAATCTTTTTCAAAGAAAATATTTGTTTGTATCATCTGTCCTTAAAAAACATTACCCTGGTCACTCATCTGGAAAATATAGGTCAGATCCAGTATCTGATGCTATCTGATCTGCACTGCATAATCCTGGTGAAGTTGATCTATTTAAAACTCTGGTGGAGTTGACCTATTTATTACCTGACTGTTCCTCCACTTTAGTTTGGAACACTTTGATCTGCTCCGTGTAACTCTGGTGGAGTTGACTTATTTATTACCTGATTGTTCCTCCACTTTAGTTTGGAACACTTTGATCTGCTCCGCGTAACTCTGGTGGAGTTGATCTATTTAAAACTCTGGTGGAGCTGTTCTATTTATAACTCTGGTGGAGTTGACCTATTTATTACCTGACTGTTCCTCCACTTTAGTTTGGAACACTTTGATCTGCTCCGCGTAACTCTGGTGGAGTTGATCTATTTATAACTCTGGTGGAGTTGACTTATTTATTACCTGACTGTTCCTCCACTTTAGTTTGGAACACTTTGATCTGCTCCGCGTAACTCTGGTGGAGTTGTTCCATCTCTCTCTGGAGTTTCTCCACTTCCTGTGTCTGGGTCGCCATGACTTCTGCTCGGACCTTGAGAAGTTGTTCGTACTCCTCTAACATACGAGAGCGGAGCGCCGAAATCTCTTCACGCTGGGTCTCCAAGGTCTCCTGGACATCTGGAAAATAACAGTGAACCATACTTATAGAAAACACCCATATAATGAATGTATTGAGTCTCCAAGGTCTCCTGGACATCTGGAAAATAACAGTGAATCATACTTATAGAAAACACCCATATAATGAATGTACTGAGTCTCCAAGGTCTCCTGGACATCTGGAAAATAACAGTGAATCATACTTATAGAAAACACCCATATAATGAATGTACTGAGTCTCCAAAGTCTCCTGGACATCTGGAAAATAACGCATATTATACAGTAAATCATGCTTATAGCGAACATGAATATTGAACCTTACAGTAAAATGATATTCATTCCGAAAACTTTTAAATATATTGTAAGCTTAATAGGTGTAGCAAAGCAAAATTGTCCATTCTTGGCATTTCATTTTAAGCATGTTTTTCCTATGAAAAGACAAATGGACAACATGTTGTAATATTCTGAAGTATCTATCGAAAGAATTTTTACAGTAGTAACATTTTACTGCAAAGCATGCAGAAAAGAGGATCAATCATATTTATATTGATTTCTTAGAGACAATATTTCAGAACTATCTTCACAATGCAACAGTTTTGAAAAATGTCATTACAAAACTTCATAATGAGAAGACAAATACTGGAGTAATTCCTATCAACATTTTGCAAAATACACAGAAATTAAAAATGATTTCAGCTCAGAAAACAATTTACAATTCATTTACCTCATTAGAAAAATAAAATTTTACCCAAAAGAAATGTAATTTTCCTCTGGTCCATGATATTGAGCAAAAAAAATTTTCTTAAAAAGTGATCCGAAAGTCAATTAATAAGGAGGATCTTACACAGTTAATCAGTGTGTACACTATACCCCCCTGTCAGACACGGGGTTTACTGGTGAAGTCAGTGTCAACACATTAAGTTAAACATAGAAATGTTGTTTGATTTCACACCAAATCACAAAGAACCATCTCAGTTAAAGGGAACATTAAGGAGAAAATAAAGAAAACATTCTCCAATTTATAGTACTATACATGTACATAGAGGCATCTTAATGTTATACACAGGAGACCTCATAAACAAACTCAAAGTAGCTTAAATTCACTTGTTAGTTAGGAGTTAAAGGAACCACTATGGAGAAAGGATGCAAATTTCCTTAAAAAAGAAAAATCTCAAATTCCATACAGAATCCAGAAATTCAGGCAAAAATAGAACTTTTCTCTGAGAATTTTAGTTTCACATTGCTAAGTAATTTGAACTTCAAAAGCTGGTGCACTGACTGGAATTAAGTAAACTGGTCACCAGCTCAGCATACATGTAACTAAATTAAAGAGTTAGGACTTTCATTATTTTCTTTAAAAGAAATTTCATTGCCAATATGAGTGGTATTTCAGATTTAAATTCGGATTTCATAAAAAAACAACTTAGTCCCTTGTTCATGACAGCTGCCATTAAAGATGTTTTCAATCAACTAAATGGAAAACATCATAGTTACCCTTGTCTTGAACAATCAAATGACATGATAGGAATTCAATTTACATACCAGCTAGATATCTGTCCTTTTTAAGGTACATAAACCCTCTGCTCACTTATCATGCTTATATGAAATTTTTCTTTAACTTTTACGATTTTCCAGAGGAAATGTATATGCTGAATAAAAAACAATCAATTATAGCTTGGCTTGCGGGGCAAATTTTGACAAAGAAGACACATACTTCAACTTGGCAAATTTATATAGGAATAATAGACATTTGTGTCATTAAGAGTTATCTCTCTTATCAGAGTGTCAATGTACCTTAATTAAACAACATAATCTTCTTCAGAGTGATTCCTGAATTTAAAGGGGAACTCTGAATTTTCATTTTATATTTAAACCAAAAGGTTCCTGACCATTTCCAATTGTAGAAATGAATTCATAAAAGAAACAAAGATGATGCTGATTTTAAAAGTAAAGTTTAACTTACGTGCCTTGTATGTAAATTGATTCCCTATCAGAAAATCAGAAATTAAACCATGCTTTATTCAAAGAAATGTCTAAGACATGTAGAATAAGAAATGTTAAGATCATATGTATATGTGGGGAGGTTTTTTTAAATGAAGAATTTGATTTCAAATTCATTGACTTTTTGTTAAAGACAGTGTCCACAGAGAAATCAATTTCCTGGAATATTGTTAACTTCTAAAATTTTTGTCTTCTCTAAATCCTGACATATAAAACAAGTAGAAAGGTATAGATCCTTTCATATGAAATCTTACTCCATTTGATAATTGACAGTAGTCTTAACAATTTTTTGCCAGCCTCTTGAAACACATTTCTATTACATCATCTCATCATCAAAAGAAATTGATTCACAATAAAAACTCGAAATTGGCGAAGCCCGCTTTGCATAAATTATCCAATCATTCTGATATCGTTGATGTCCCTGGCATACTCTACTAACTAGACAGTGATTCCTTATATTTCCATTTCACAATATAATCAATAGAGCCCCACCCTAACACCAGAACCCCTGAACCTCAGGCCATAAAATTCACAATTTTGGTAGAGACACTCTTGCTCATCATAACTATTTACAAAGTTAATACCCAGGAGCAGAAAAGACTTTCAAAGAATCAATGTATTTTCACTATATTATCAAAAGAGCCCCGCCCTAACACCAGAACCCCTGACCCTAGGGCCATAATATCCACAATTTTGGTAGAGGCTCTCTCTTGTTCATCATAACTATGTACAAAGTTATTTTATTTAATACCCAGAAGCAGTGAAGAAGATTTTCAAAGAATTAAAGCATTTTTACTATAAAATCAATAGAGCCCCACCCTAAAACCAAAACCCTTGATTGATCCATGGGCCAGTACATAAAGTTGTGACGCATGTCAATGGACGAAAACAGATAGCAATAGGTCACCTGAGTGCCTCTCATCAACATTTAACTTCATATGAAGTTTGATGAAAATATCTTAATTTCTTTGAAACTGAGCTTTGAACTGAGCTAAATGCAAAGTGTGACGCCGGGGGAAGGACAGAAGATGGACATAACTAACACTTTATGCCCCCACCATACATAAGAACCATTCTTAGCAATCCACAATTTGATACCTATCCTTTTATTCTACACTTTTGCTTAACGACGTTGGATCCTAATATTTAAAGTCTTAAACTTTTTTTGCCAAGTATATTTTTAGTTTCTACATGCATAGCTTTATTAAAATTCAAATCAAAAAATGAGGGTCAATATGCTTCTTTTGGCGCTACAGTACATTAAAATGACCTTTTTGCACTGAAATTTGTTTCTTAATTAAAAATTACATCTTCGACGTTTTTCCTTCAATATTTTTCCAATTGAGACATGAAACAAAATGAACTCTAAAGTAAATCTATTTTAAAAAAGACACTTTAAAATTGTGACTAAGAAAAAGTTTCAAATTGCTTTGCATTATTAATTATTTGACCTTTCTGCACTGATAAAATGTTATTTTTCTGGCATTGAAAATTTAATAAGAAAGAAAATTATTTTAAAGTCTTAAACTTTTTCTGATTTTAAGCAAATAGGTCAAAGATATATTGAATATTTAGAAAAGAACATCAAAAGTGGGGGTATATGATATAAATTTTCAGATATTGCTAAAAAAAGTGTCAATTTTACCTTAAAATTGGTTCAATTTTTTACCGGATTTTCAGATTATATTTACTATATCTGTCACACTTCATTGAAAGAATTCATAAGAAATAATTTAATAGATATTTCAGAACCAGCATAACGCATTTCACTGCAAAAAACAGCTTTTTGTGCTACCAGCATGGAAAAATAGGAATCTAAAATTAACAGTACTGTTATAGTTCAAAAAGGAAAAAACTTATCATTTCTTCTTAAAAACCTTCCGCCACAAAATATAGTTCCAAGCTTAATTCTAATTGATGGGAAATTAATCGCGCTTTTTTCATTGAAAATAGTTTAATTTGCATTGTAGAATTAAGATTTGTTGTTAGAACTTAAAAATGATGCAGAATTTTATAAATAAAGGATAGGACCAAAATTCGCTCAAAAGCGCAGGATCGAACATCCTTAAGGACAAAACTAATTCCATAGCAGGAACTATTTTAAGCCAAAGTTCAAGTGTTATTAATCTCAAGTCTGTATCAGAAAATTTCATCGAAAGCAACAGGAGTCCATAATACATGCAGGAAACGAAATTGATAATTGGAGTTATATTGGGAAGTAGGAAATTTAACATTTTGACAGAATTTGAATTGGTAAGAAAGTTTCCATATTTCCTAAGCAGAGTTAATTGAGATACATCTACAATATTATATTCACTTGTCGAATTAAAATCGTCTGTGTCTGAGCTTGACCCCCCAATGCCTATTGAGAGGAAGCTCCTGGAAGTAAAATCTGTGACTTCACACTAGTCTAATCAACAGCAGAAAGGAATATACGCCACTGAAAATGGACTCCATTAGAAGCTCACAAATGTAAGTTTTAATTACAAGAATTTATAACTCTAAACAGAATTCCTAATTCATCTGAATCAGTGTAATCAGTGTAATTTGTTTACAGTAAGATTAGTTTTTAGCTTTTTACATCACTGAATTTAAAACATGATATATATCCTTGACACTTGCAGTTATAAATTTCACCATTTAAAAAAAGAATAAATAAATTAATTATTTAATTGAGTTGAAAAATAACTGATTCAGTTGAGGTAGTATTTTTTATTTTATGATTTTTGAATGTAAAAATTATCAATTTTGATAATTATGTTATAGTTTTAGAAAAGTGAAACATTCATTTAATACAAGAATATAAATTCCACTTTAATCATTCTCAGAACTGAAGCCATACAACACATATCAGAGTCTGTGTTTGTGGGACTGTGTCGTAAAGTGGGGACCTCACAATTGGTGGCCATGAGGAGAGATGCGCTGGACATCGAGGATATGGTGGTAAATCACTGTCACTATTTCAGAAAGATGGTGAGTCGAAGTAAGAGAGAAGGACTCAGACTTAAAGGATCAGATATAGACATTATGTTGTGGCCAAATAATCACCGTGTGATCTGGGACTTATCTCAGTCTCAGTATTACAACACACACAGACAAACACTGATCCTCTGTGACTGTTCTGATAGTCCACCAGGATTCACTTTGTTATATTTACTCTCACCAAGCATGTATAGACAAATCCAGAGAGCGTGTGTTAAAACGAATAACAGATATTGTATATCTAGTTCTAAATTCAGACAGATCACTTTATCTGAGTCGTCATCACAACCTTATAACATCACTGAACATGGACCCTGTGCCAGTGGAACAATTGGATCAAAAGAATATGATCATGCCTACTGTTTTGTCAGTGACCTTTGGCCTCCCTCTGCCTCCCTATGGATAGACAGATGTCACTCATGGCCCCAGCCTCATGTTGTTGATGATATAGTGAAAAATGGATGTCACTTTGTAGCAATTGGACACAAGCTAGGAAATCATGAAGATCATGAATGGAGAATTTCTTTCTCCCTAGCAGAACAAAAACTTGTGAATGTAATGAATCACTGTCAATTCTTAACTTACAGCTTACTTAAATTGATCTTAACAGAAATAATTAACAATGGAGCAGGTGATGATGATAAATTACTGTGTTCCTATCACATGAAGACGGCAGTTTTCTGGGTGATTCAACAAAATACAATACCTCACTGGTGTCCACAAAATTTCCTGGGGGGTTTCTGGGTCTGTTTTAAACTCATCCTCAAATGGGTGTATGAGGGGGTCTGTCCAAATTTTTTCATTCCAGGCAACAACATGTTTCTGAGTAAAATTCATGGCGTCAAACAAAATCAGCTATTTATAAGACTGTTAGAGTTGTATCAAAAGGGTTTAGCATTCCTGCTACATAGTCCCTCCATTAGATCTTGTATTATATATGTCCTCTATAACCCCAGAAACTCCATCTGTACAGATAATCATACTCTGATTTCTGAGGTTGAGTTTGATGGAAATCTATTTGAGGAAATACTATCTCTTTACATAATACCAGGCAAATTGGACATACAAAGCTACATTAGATATCTACATAAAATAGAACAGATGATAGGTTCACACCTCCTGACACAGTATCAAATCATTACGCTACAGAACATGACTGCTAGGGCCCTTCAGTACACTGCTTTTATATTACACATGGAAACTTACACACCTGACAACAAACTGAGGTATAGAGTTGACAAAATGTCCTGTCACATGCTGAAATTAACAGCCAAGTTTGGTTGTATTACTGACATGATATACATAGCCATGTATTATTACAAGACACTTAGATACATGAAAGCTTTATCTGTTATAAAGATGATCATGGTCAAGATAGCACAGCCATATGTGTTTTATTGGTCAAATGTAGATAGAGAGAGGTATACTGAGGCTGTAGGGGGACAGTCCTGGTCTAAAAAGATGAGACAGGCTGTAGCAGAGGATATCACACTTTACAATGAAATCCATTACATCAGTGAACTGATACCTGAACAACAATCTGCTCTACAGAACAACTGGCCTTCATTAAGTGTACCACCCCTTATCCTGTCATCCATGCTAGTGATTTTGTGCTACAGACATGTAGACACAATGCGAGCACAAAGAGCTCTAGATGATCTACAGACCCTAGTTCTCCATTTTCAGGGACAGCTTATATCATACAGAGACATATCATGGCAGATTCTGGGGATCTGTCAACAGGTGACAGGGAACCTCCAGGCTGCTCTATACTCATACCAACAATCTCTCAGAGAAGAACCAAACAATGGAATACACATAGCTACAGAAATGAGAATACAGAGTTTGCCAATGGATTTCCTTAATTAATTAAATGTCAGATGATATTTGTAGGAGTTCACCTGATAGAGATTTATTATTTACATATACTCTTCTGATTTCATATTTTCTTTTCTGTCTGTTTTATTACATGTATTATAAAGCTAATACTAGTAACAAGTCCATAATTAAATAAAAGAGGCACTATTGCTTATCATAATTACAGTCAAACCTGTATAAAGCAGTCACCTATAGGATCCTTAAAAAGGTGACCTTTATAGAGAGGTGACCTTCAAGGTTCATCTTATTAAAGGAATTTATTTATACATCAAATATGCCAGTTTATTTGTGTTTATATATAATGTATTTCACTACAAAATATACAAGGAAGTTAGGTATTGGACATAAGTGATCTCACTTTTAACATGTTTAATTTTTGTTTCTTCCGCATGACTTCTGTGGATGAATTCAAACAAAATTCAATGAATCCTAGAAAATTATAAAATATTTGTATATAGAATCTTACAAGGTAAAAGCATTATCCCCCATCAAAGCAACAATTTTTCCTCTTGTGTAAGGAATGAATATATAATGCAATGAAGAAAATCAATCGAATATTTTTTTTATCTAAACTTGAATTGTAAAATAAACTTTTGTACATATATATATATTTAATGCATGTAATGGATTTTTGTGTAATTAAACAGACAGGTAACTGTCAGATGTACTCAGTTGATATTGGTGTTAATTAAAGACTAAACGGTATTTATTAATTTTTGTTCACAATCCCGCACCGCTTGACCAATTATTTACATTAGTAACAAATATTGGGAATGTATTTATTAATTTTTGTTCACAATCCCGCACCGCTTGACCAATTATTTACATTAGTAACAAATATTGGGAATGTATTTATTAATTTTTGTTAACAATCCTGCACCGCTTGACCAGTTATTTACATTAGTAACAAATATTGGGAATGTATTTATTAATTTTTGTTCACAATCCCGCACCGCTTGACCAATTATTTACATTAGTAACAAATATTGGGAATCAGCTGACTACAGATCAGGTCACGTGACTGATTATCTGTCGTCAATTCAGTGTATAAATAACAGACTAACAAATCAGGAGCGAAACAAAGAATTACCTCATAAAAAAACATCAGAGATGGGATCAGATGTCATAAATCCCTATGCTCTCTTTTTTAAATGAAACATTTTTGCCCCAAGCCTCATGCATTAGAGCAGATATTCATAGCTATAAGTTTCTTCAACAGAAACTTAAAAAATCGTAAATGTGACAATGAAACTTTTTATGAAATTGTGACTATGGCTTAAAAATTTCGAAATTGTAGACTTGTTCATCTTTAAACATTTTGAAACTTCTGATGCCCTGTATCCACTTTCTATTAATTGTACGATCAACTTTTTAGTGTCATCTGACATTTCAGTGTCATGGTTTCCCATTTGGTAAACAAGGAAGTAGACAAATAACAAAATCAAATTCACTGAAGAAAATCCTCAAAATTTAATGTCAGTAAGAGTTACTTCCCTTTGTTCATAAAAAATCGATACGACAATGTCCATCTTTCTACCAATCTAACTGTAAAGTTTTGAAGCGGCTATGAAATTCAAAATTTGTTCAAAAGTTTACGAACGACATAAGACAGACAACAACAGATGAAAACAGATAGCAATAGGTCACTTGACTAAACTCAGGTGACCAAAAAATGTGCAATTTACAAGATTCCTTGCCCACTGTTTAGGATAATTTCAATTTTATATTTTGGTAAATCATTTAGTTTTTACCCCTCTACCTCTAGACACATTCTTAAACTAATTTGTATATTTTATCCTCCTCTCAACCATTAATCATGTTAATAGTCGCCTCTATAGGCGATAAACTAGCTTGATTTGAATTTTCTAAGGGATTGCAGAAAATTCTACTTCAATGGAGTTTATCGCTTGTAGAGACGACTAAAAAGGCTTGGGAGGTGTATAAAACATACAGATTTATTTAAAATGTGTCGAATTATGGAGGGAAAGGAAGAAGATTTACCAGTGCTGGAGATAACTGAAATTCTCCCAAACAGTGCGCAAAAAATCGTGCGCACCATAGTTTGCATTACGGGATCTGTAGCCTAATGGTCAAAGACAACTATATAAAACCATAACGCTGCAGTTCTGCAGCTAGTGATAAAGATGTATGTCTAATTCTGGATTCATTTTATATTGTGGACAAAAGCTTGGCTAAAATTACAATTTCATTGATAAGTTAATTTACAGGGATGAAATCTTCATACTATATAGAGAACTACCAACAAATTCTACGAATATTGATCTACCATTAAATCTAATCATTCCAAAGTATATTGTGGTACATAAACAACATACCCTTCGCGTTACTGAGTACTTTCTCGCGTTCGTCGAGGTGTGAAAATTCTAGCCCTGTGACAGGAAGTGATCGGATGCTGTCTGTCTCGCCGTCCTCCGAGTCTGTCTGCTGGCCCTGAGTCTGGCGAGATTTACGTGGAGAGATCGCAGTCGCTGGTCGTGTCTCTCCAAACCTTCTGAGATTTTCTGTTAAATTACAGTCGATAATACTTGGAACGTAAAACAAATAAAAGATCACCCATGTCTGTACTTTTAGACATGATAGATATATTTCAAAATTTGCCAAGAAGTTATTGAGTATTTAATTAGCAACACATGACTTGTCCTATAATAACATGATCAGATATTTTGTTTTTTTCCCAAACAATTACTGTTTTATCCTTTAATCACAGAGAGAGAGAGAATAGTTAAGAGAGGGATACCTTCAGTTTACTGTATAGGGGGAAAATAACTCGCGGTGTTAATATTCGCTATATTAACGGTAATAATAAATCCGTGAATTCAAGAAACAGCGAATAATTTTTTCAATAATCTCCATGTTTTATTTGGAAATTTGAGAATAGACTACGATAGGTTTAAAGACATGTACCACAGTACATGGTCAATTTTAGTAATTACGAGTAGTGCTTGTCATTCAATTATTAGGTCTTTCCACCTTTCTGTGGAAAGACCTATTGATTTTCTTCTGTTTATTATTATTATTAGGTCTTTCCACCTTTCTGTGGAAAGACCTATTGATTTTCTTCTGTTTTTTTTTTTATTTTTTATTATTTTTCCGCCGTGTGATTTTGAGTTTCAAGATTTATCGAAAAGATTTTAAGTTCATAAGAATGTACTCTGTAAAAGATTTTCGCAGTTGACCCTGCGTATATGAACTATGACCCCTTTCGGAGTTATTACCCCTTTCGCAAAAAAGCTTGTTATCGCTACTCCTCCGAAACCGTAAACCGTAGAGAATTGAAACCTTCACTAACGTCTTCGACTAATTTAGTAGACACTTCATTGATTCATTGAAAATGTATTTGTTGACCCCTTCAATGAGTTATTGCCCCTGGAAGTTTTTGAATTTTACAAATAATTAAAAATTTTCAAAACGAGAAGTTGTAGAGACATGGGACTAACTGCATAAGATTTATTGACCTTTGGTCTTAAAATTTATGGAAAGGTCAAAGGTCAAGGTCATTCCAAAACTGAGAAATTAAGCTCTTTTTATATCTCTCTTGTCTTTCAACATATACTTAATGTCTATGCATCATTAATATGTACTCTTAATACTGTTTCAAAGATTTCATTCTTGTCCCCTAAGATTAACCCTTTTAAAAGTTATTGCCCCTTGTGCGAAAAACCTTGTTATCGCTACTCCTCTGAAGCTGTAGACCTTAGAGACACCAAACCTTCACTAATATCTTGAGGGTCTTTAGGCCTAACTTCATTGTATTAGTGCGAAAGGATCTGATGACCCTTTATATGAGTTATTGCCCTTTAACTTCTTTGTACTTACTATTAAACATAATAACTTCAGAACTAAAAGTCGTAGAGGCATGGGGTCAAGTGCAATGTGACTCTTGACCTTTGACCTTGAAAATTTATTCAAGGTCAAAGGTCAAGGTCATTTCAAATTTTAAAGATTTTCATTTTTTTCTACATCTTTTTATCTTTTAAGCCATTTTTTTTGGCTTTTTCTTATGGTATTTAAGGAGTTAGATACAAAACAAAATACAAATTCAGAGAAGGTGGAAAGACCTCTTATTGTTCTGTGAACAATAAGTCTCCTAGTTATTATTATTATTCTTCTTCCGCTGATTTTTTGTTTCGACATTTATCGAAAAGACTTTTTGTTCATCGTAAAGGTCATTAAAAGTTATGAACAAATTTGACCCAACGCGTATGAACTATGTCCGCTTTCGAAGTTATTGCCCCTTTTGCAAGAAATGCTTGTTATCGCTACTCCTTCGAAACCGTAAACCGTAGAAATATGAAACCTTCACTAAAGTCTTCGACTCATTGAGAGGACTCTGGAATCTATTCATTGCGAAAGTATTCGGTGACTCCTTCAATGAGTTATTGCCCCTGAAACTTTTTGAATTTTACAAATAATTAAAAATTTTTGAAACGAGAAGTGATAGAGACATGGGACCAACTGCATAAGATTCATTGAGCTTTGATCTTAAAATTCATGTAAAGGTCAAAGGTCAAGGTCATTCCAAAATTGAGAAATTAAGCTCTTTTTATATCTTTTTTGTCTCTTAACATATACAAACTGTCTTAGCATCATTAATATGTACTCTTAAAACTATATTAAAGATTCAATTCGTATTCCGTAAGATTGACCCTATTAAAAGTTATTGCCCCTTTCGCAAGAAATGCTTGTTATCGCTACTCCTTCGAAACCGTAAACCGTAGAAATATGAAACCTTCACTAACGTCTTTGACTCATTGAGAGGACTCTGGAATCTATTCATTGCGAAAGTATTCGGTGACTCCTTCAATGAGTTATTGCCCCTGAAAGTTCTTGAATTTTACAAATAATTAAAAATTTTCAAAACGAGAAGAGATAGAGACATGGGACCAACTGCATAAGATTCATTGAGCTTTGAGCTTAAAATTCATGTAAAGGTCAAAGGTCAAGGTCATTCCAAAATTGAGAAATTAAGCTCTTTTTATATCTTTTTTGTCTCTTAACATATACAAACTGTCTTAGCATCATTAATATGTACTCTTGAAACTATATTAAAGATTCAATTCGTATTCCGTAAGATTGACTCTATTAAAAGTTATTGCCCCTTTCGCAAGAAATGCTTGTTATCGCTACTCCTTCGAAACCGTAAAACGTAGAAATATGAAACCTTCACTAAAGTCTTCGACTCATTGAGAGCACTCTGGAATCTATTCATTGCGAAAGTATTCGGTGACCCCTTCAATGAGTTATTGCCCCTGAAAGTCTTTGAATTTTAGAAATAATTAAAAATTTTCAAAACGAGAAAGTGTAGAGACATGAGACCAATTGCATAAGATTCATTGAGCTTTGAGCTTAAAAGTCATGTAAAGGTCAAAGGTCAAGGTCATTCCAAAATTGAGAAATTAGGCTCTTTTTATATCTTTTTTTGTCTCTTAACATATACAAACTGTCTTAGAATCATTAATATGTACTCTTAAAACTGTTTCAAAGATTTCATTCTTGTCCCTTAAGATTGACCCTATTAAAAGTTATTGCCCCTTGTGCAAAAAACATTTTATTTGCTATTGCTCCAAAACCGTAAACCGAAAAGACATGAAAACTTCTCTAATGTCTGATGGGATTTTAGGCAAAACTTTTATGTTCAAGCGCAATAAGATCTGGTGACTCCTTGAATGAGTTACTGCCCTTTAATGCTTTTGTGCTTACTGTTAAACCTTATAACTTTAAAACTTTAAGTCATAGAGACATGCAATTAATTACAATGTGACCCTTGACCTTTGACCTTGAATATGATTTGAAGGTTAAAGGTCAAGGTCACCTGAAAAATTCTAAATTTTCATTTTTTTCTTCTTTTAAGCCATTCCTGGTTTCTTTTTTTTATGAAATTTAATTTTAGAGAGAAATTATAAATGAAATTGAAATTCAAAAGGTGGAAAGACCTCTTATTGTTCTTTGAACAATAAGTCTCCTAGTTTTAATTAGCACTCTTTACATTAATTCAAGTCAACAGATAATTATCTGTATTTGTAAACAGGTTTTTTTAAATAGCCAACGCTACATGTTTAATCAGTCAAAACACGTTGGTCAAGAGTTTTGATTACCCGTGTGTAACTAATGTTACCACGCACAGTGTGTGCATTACCTGCATTATCATGCATATTATAGTTTTATCGATATTTTGATTTTAAAAAACCCATTCAAATAAATATCGAACTTACTGAAGATTTGGAAGGATATTATTTCGCCAACCTACATTAACACATTTATTATCAAAAGAAATTGATTCACGATAAAAACTCAAAATTGGCGAAGCCCGCTATGCAGAAATTATCCCATCTTTCCGATATCGTTGATGTCCCTGACATACTCAACAAACTAGACAGTGATTCCTTATATTTCCATTTCATTATATAATCAATAGAGCCCCACCCTAACACCAGAATCCCTGAACCTGAGGCCATAAAATTCACTATTTTGGTAGAGGCACTCTTGCTCATTATAACCATGCACAAATTTAATACCCAGGAGCAGAAAAGAAAACTTTCAAAGAAATAATGTATTTTCACTATATAATCAAAAGAGTCCAACCCTAACACCAGGCCCCAAAACCATAAACTGAAAATAGACTTAAGTCAAAATTTTGATTTTTAATCTCTTCAGTACAGTTCGATGTATTAGCCTAAAAGTTTGCAACTGTGCAAAATACATCAATTGAAATAAATGTTGAAAATTTTATTTTGATATCGAAATTATTTTGAAAGTTATATCAATTTGAAATTTTGAGTTAAGTCTGTTCTCCGTTTATGGTTTTGGGGCCAGAACTCCTGACCATAGGGCCATCAAATCTAAAATTTTGGTAGAAGCATTCTCTTGCTCATCATAACTATATATAGTTGGTTTATTTAATACCTAGGAGCAGAGATTTTCAAAGAATTAATGCATTTTCAATATATAATCAATAGAGCCCCATCCTAACACCAAAACCCCTCATCCCGGGGCCAATACATCAAGTTGTGACGCACGTCGACGGACAAAAACGGATAGCAATAGGTCACCTGAGTGACTCTCATCAATATGTACATGTAACAGCATATGAAGTTTGATGAAAATATTTAAATACTTCCTTTGAATCTCAGCTTTGAGCTGAATAAACTGCAAAGTGTGACGGAAGTACAGAAGATGGACATAACAAACACTATCTGCCCTGGTCATATTCATGACGGGACATAAAATTTATTCTTAGCAATCCACAATTTGATACCTATCCTATTATTCTACACTTTTGCTTAAGGACAAAACTAATTCCATAGCAGGAACTATTTTAAGCCAAAGTTCAAGTGTTATTAATCTCAAGTCTGTATCAGAAAATTTCTTCGAAAGCAACAGTCCATAATACATGCAGGAAACGAAATTGATAACTTGAGTTATATTGGGTAAGTAGGAAATTCAACATTTTGACAGAATTTGATTCAGTAAGAAAGTTTCCATATTTCCTAAGCCGAGTTAACTGCGATACGTCTACAATATTAAATTCACTTGTCAAATTAAAATCGTCGGTGTCTGAGCTTGACCCCCCAATACCTATCGAGAGGAAGCT